ATTTGAGCAATATTTCACATTTCGAGCGAATTTTGAGCAACAAAAAGTCAGCGATTATAGAATTCGATTCGTACCTCGATTAACTAAACATACAGTTCGAAGTAAGGTTTAAAAATTGACGGGTATTATACTATTATTTTATATATAATTTAGGTATAACTCCAAAAGAAAAGCCGTACAGCTGCATATGACATTACAGTTAAAAAATTAGAACGCTGACTTTTTCGAGTTCTCTTTTTTTTGTCATAAACAACTCCATATACGGAAGTTTGTTCCATATATGGAGAAGGACGTGGAAACAGATTTTAAAAAATGCTGATTTTAAAAAATTTACGAAAATCTTAGAGGTAACTGTTCACAATTTTAGCACTTTTTGAGCACTATTTTGAGATTTTGAGCACTTTTTGAGCACTTTTTAGCCATTTTTGCCAGCACTTTTTTAGGATTTTACCAGCGCAATCGGGAAAGGCCTATTTACAAACTCTTCCAAATTGTCTTAATTTTTTTAGATATAATACATCCTGCCACCTTGTTTTGTAATTAGATCTTGGGCAATTTCCGAATGCCCTCACAGTCTATTATAAAGATATGACGGTCTGGAAACTAAACAGAAGTCATTGTATTATGTTTTTGTCTGAGTTTATGTTAATTTGTGCACGGCCACACTGCTATTGGTTGGTTAGGCGAAAAAACAATACAGACGTGAAAATGAACCGACCATTTGTTGCATAAACCAAAACAAAAACACAGTTTAATGAGGTCTATTATGTCGCCATCACGGTGATTGAGCTCATTGTACAGGGTGTATAAAAAAAAACGCAACCTCGGAATTTCCCAAGAAATCGACATTGTTTTAAAGACAAAAGATTTTAGGCGCCTGGGAATTTAAAATAGCACAACTGTCAAAATTACTGCACACGCGAGTGCATAAAGCAAAATTTATGCATTTATTTAATGCACAACAACAGTAATATGATCTATTAGCAATTCGATTTCAATTCCCAGGGGCCTAAAATCTTTTATGCTTAAGAATTGCAAAGTGATTTCTTAGGAAATTCCGAGGTTGCGTTTTTTTTTATACACCCTGTATATTCGTATAATGGACCTTTCACCTTTTGACTAAAATTTAGATCTCAACAAGTCTAGACAAAATTTTATGACGGCTTGAAAGAGCATCACAAAATTAGTAATATTCCAAAGTTTCGTTGCGAAATGTTGTTAAATGCGGATAATATAGCCTTGCGAAGTTTGAAAATTGCAAACTTCGCAAGGCTATATTATCCGCATTTTACAACATTTCGCAACGAAACTTTGGAATATTACTAATTTTGCGATGCTCTTTCAAGCTGTGATAAAATTTTTGTCTAGACTTGTTGAGATCTAAATTTTAGTCAAAAGGTGAAAGGCCCATTAAGTAACCGTCCAATAGGGATAGCTGAGATAAAACGTGCAATCACGATGAATAATATTTAATAAAGTTGAGACAAAGGATTTGTGCACGGCGAGGTACAGTAAGTTCAACGTCAAACAAAGCTCTTCTATTTTGTGGCTTTGAAGTTTGCCGGGCTTCAGACCATCACGTCTTGACATATTATGATGCTCTCTATTTTTAATCGTTTTATAATTTCCACACTCGTAGGAAAACTTCCATAACTACTGGATGGATCACCAGAACTCCTTGACCATATATGGACATATGCAAGTAAAAACCGAGAGTACGGAATCAATGGGAGCATTCACCGTCACTAAATTTGTCTTGAAAAACAGTCAGGTAATTTTATCACTATGCCCTCAAAAACACTGCATGGTTAAATAATTCGATAGATTAAAAGATCTGTTCTCATTGCAAATATTCTGGAATCATTGAATTCAAAAGGCCGCTCCAGTCAGTCCAAGATTACAGATCAATGCAGGATGTGAAATTTTTTGGCCAAAGTCATTAACCAAGACTACCTTTTACATTTTTTAAGGAAAGCGACGCAACGAAAGTAGTACGTCATTTCCGCTTCACAAACTGGCCAGATAAAGGAATCCCGGATGTGAAGGAATTTGCCCATTTCATACGAAGTGCGGATAAAGCGAGACTGGAAAGCCCGAAATCCCCAATTGTCGTTCATTGCAAGTAAGTTAAAGTCTGATTTTCATATATCGCAATTAGCCTTTCTTACGCCGCCATTTTTGAGGTACTGCCTTGTACAAATCTGAGATTGTACGCAATGAATAAGAGATTTGTATAACTATACTTGTGACTATATTATCATTATAAGTTAATTTACAGTTAAATATTTGAAAAAATGTTTTCGCATCGCTTAGATTTTTCACGCCGTTTTCAAAAAAGTACCCCAAAAATGGCGAATTTGGCCTTGGTGATCGAGAAAGGCTTCATTCAGCGAAATTCATCGACGATTTTCTCATTATCCATTGTCGGTGATCAATGAAGAAGAAAATCCTTCCCGATGGACGAAGAATTTTATACCATTGAACTATAAGTAAACTGGAAGGCTAACTCAGGGGGGAATTGAAGCCAGTGCATTTTAGTTTTTCTGAGTTATGAGTACCTGGATTCCAGAGCCTTCGACAGTAAATAATAAATTGAAATGTCGCGAAGGCTCTGGTTCAACGGGGCGATTCTTTGATTAAACCGCGCCAATCACAAAACAGAATTAGTGGTTTTAGTACAAAACCACTAATTCTGTCGCGGTTTAATCAAAGAATCGCCCCGTTGAACCAGAGCCTTCGCGACATTTCAATTTATTATTTACTGTCGAAGGCTCTGGAATCCAGGGTAAGTTATGAGCAGAAATACTCAACACTGAACGTTGTGCTGTATATGAAACTGAAGCTATTGAAAAACGCTATTTGGAAAAAAAATGTAATTTCAAGACTTTAGCTAAAAGGGAAATATTTAAAAACTACAAAAATAATTGCCGATAATTTGCCATTTTTTCGCCGAATGGCAGTTGTTTTTGTATTTTTTAAATATATTTTTTTTCGCTGAAGTCTTGAAATTTCCACACCGAATAGCAATTTTCAATAGCTTCAGTTTGATATATAGCCCTACGTTTGGGATCAAGTATTTCTGCTCATAACTCAGAAAAACTATTTTGGCTTCATCAAATCATAGGCCTCTATCATAGCAGTTATAGCCTTCCAGTTCATTTATAGTTCAATGTTTTATACACCAATGATCATTGACAATGGAGCTTATAGTCCAGCATCACGGATGTAATACTGTCAACAACTTACAATTTAAAACAATAAACCAGGGACCTAGCCAGGATTAGCAATCTACCGTCCAAAAGTGCTGGGCCAGTTCTGTCCTCCCTCCCCCAAAACATCGTGTTTCCCTTGGGATAATTTTGAAGAATAGTTTTTAAATCAGATCTTCATCTTTTACTAAATGTGATTCTTAGCAGTCAAAAGAGGGTTAGGGTAAAACGCTGATACGGACGGACGGACGGACGGACGGACGGACGGACGGACGGATGACCTATTTTTCTCTAAAATATGTTTTAAACATCATATCCGCGTTTTACCCGATCGGGTAAAACGCGGATATGGTGTAAAATATACTTTTCG